GAGCGAAGGCACTAGGTGGCACCAGCCTGGCTACTAAAATGGCCCTTTCTACTTAAAAAAGGGTAAATTGTAGCTGTTAACTTGAAAACTACCACTACATGACATGACATCACAAGGTGGAACAGAGCATTTTGAGGTTGGGAGATGTAGACAGACTAATAAACCAGGTTTACTCAAATATGTGTGAAACAAAACAACTCCAGGGATGTTTTGGATGAGGTAACAACATTATAACAAGGCTTAAAGCTCACAAGAGTCAATTTTGCGTAATATAGGTCCTTTTAAAGATATTTACCCAGGACTTTTTACAAGTATTCCCAATGGATTATAATAAACTGTTTACAAAGAAAAACCCTAAAGTACTGTGCAAATGTGTGCTTATATGGATAATGCCACAAATCTCTGTCCACAATTGTACTGTCTTCCAACGTCACTGTGTTTGACTTGTCTTTTGAGCTTGCTGTCACTGGTCTTGGTGTATTTACATTCTAAAGACCCTGAGGTGTTACAGAGTCAGTGTTTGTCTGTTTGCCAGTGAAAGAGATGTAATTAGATGAACTAAAAGACTTGGAGGTCTAAACTTGAATGACCCATACCTCAAGGCTCTTTTAGCTTTTTACCCTGAGTTATTCATCACTGTTCTTTTCTTTTGCAGTGACAGGGCCATTAAAAGAGAAGCAGATAGCCTTTGTGTGCCGAGAGACTCTTCAGGTGAGGTTTCATTGTCGAGTTTCTAAGCACGTTTCTGTAATTTCTTGACATTATGGTGGTGGTTCTTGGTGGTACTTACCTAGCCAGACATTTAAACATAGGCTGTACTTGAGGAAAATAGTACTGCTTTGTCACAGCAGGCTGCGGTAATGTGCTGATGTTGAAATGCGGTGATTTGTTTCTAAATATATATTCTCTGAGATAGCAGTTCTAAACACAACGTAAGTGTGTACATGCTTTACTTTATTGCACCAGGAATGATTGGATTTAGAGCTTATCCTATTGTGTAAAGACGATGACACAATACATCTAATTGCTTTTTAAGACTCCACCTTCAGCTTTTAAATACTTCAAATCCTGCCTTTGTGGTCAGCCTACTGAAATTCATGAACATGCACTGCAAAAAACAAACTCTAGACAAGTTAAGATGACTTGAATTAAGAAAGTTTTATCATGATTTGAGTAAATATCACTTGACAAGTAAAATTATCTCAAGACTTTTTGTACTTAAAATATATAAATACATCTTGCTACACTTAAAATAAGAAAAACTACAACTTTTTGCACTTAAAATAAGAATGTTGCTTGAATTAAGACAAGCACACTTATTCTATTGGTAGATAATTTTCATTGTCAAGTTGAATCTACTCAAATAAAGTAAAATGTTCTTAATTTAAGTCATTTTAACTTACCTGGATATTGTTTTTTTTTCCAATGTGGTTTTGTTTGCTCTCCTGTCTCAGTGAATTCCATACATTTCACTGGTTATCCATTATTTCAGGGTCTGTAGATGAACAGAATCACAAAACCAGCAATGTATTATACAAGAAATATCAATTATAAGCAGCTATTACATTTGATTATTAACTTTACAGTATTATTTTAGAAGCTGTCAGTCATCAAAAGTTATAAATACTTCCATTATGTTATTTCCAGACTGCTAATAATTATTCATATAGAGCAGCTCCCATTCATAATTTTCAAGTGATTAATATTTCAGGCTGTAGGAAGAATACCAGTTGAACATATTTCAGATCATTTTTTTGTCTTTGTACAGGGCTTGTATCATCTTCATGAAAGTGGCAAAATGCATCGAGACATTAAGGTAAATACTGTACGCTCTGAAAAGCCTATGAAAGTAATGGCCTTTTGTTTTCGTAGCTAATAATGAAATGAAAAACAATTCTGTCTTTTATCCAGGGTGCCAACATCCTTCTGACTGAACGCGGAGATGTCAAACTGGGTGAGAGAGAACAGAGTTTATGTGATACTTTTGAAATTGTTCTGTAGCTTTCACTTCAGCTACAATGCAACACTAGTTTTTCTGTATTTTAATTGTTTATTTTTGTTATCAGCTGACTTTGGAGTAGCTGCGGAGATCAGTGCTTCTGTCGCCAAGAGAAAGTCTTTCATAGGAACGCCATACTGGTAAGATTTATGTAACCATATTGTAGCAAAGAGATAAAATGCTTTGTCACTTTGTCAATTGGACAAAAGTTTTTTTGATTGAATACGTTTCGCAGCTCATCCCAAGCTGCTTTTTCAGTTTTGGTCAGACTCACTGCAAAAAAGCTTGGCCAAAATTTAAGATATAAACATTTAAATCTATAAGATAATGACTTAAAAGTAGTTAAATTATCTGTCCATGCAGCAAGATCATTTTACTTGACAAGTTAAATAAATAAACAAGTTAAATAAATAAAAATAAACTACCTTTAGACTAGAATCAAGCAGTCTCAGAACTAGTATGTAGAAAATAAAGCTCAAAACAAGATGATTAACCTGATATAAGTTTTAAAATCTTGGCCAGATCAGAGACATTTGCAGTGTTGCTAAAGTGCTAAGTACATTAAAACTACTCTTAAACTAACACGCCAACTTGTTTACAGTTTTTCGATCAAAAAAACTTTTGTCTAGCTGACAAATTGAATTTCTTTTTTGGCATCAATTCTACTTGGATGACTGCGGGATTTTTCCAAATAGCAAGTTTAATAGTTTATTTAAATTTTATGTTTTTTGTTTACACAATCTTGAGACATTTCTAATATGTATACATGTATACAAAAAGAATTATGGGATCTTTTCTTTTTAATGTTATACTTAGTCTACTTAGTCTTTCCTGTTGGCGTATCGGCTTGTTGTTACATGCTCATTAAGAATTTTTGTGCTGCTTGGGGGTTTGTTTTCATTATTCCTTATCCAAAGCATTCCCATTCAAGCTATACGGTTCACAGAAATCAAATGGAGTGATGTCACAGTTTTTGGAAACCTCTTTACTTTTGCTTTCCTTGATAATGGTCTCCCAGTTTTTTAGCTGATTTGAAACACACATTACAGCAGCTATCATGACATAATTATCTTGGGATTATGTCAGTGTGAGTTTGGGGGCTAGTGGTCGCTGGCCAATGGGTGTGTTGCCATTTTAAGCTTTGTTAATATAAAACAATGATTCTTTTAGCACTAGTGTGATTTAGTGTAGCACATGTCCGGAAAAGCACTTCAGATGAAAATAAAACATGAAAACGTTATTGCTTTGCATGGAATGTCCCACTGTATGGCTTTATATTACGTAACGTATCTATCTCTGTGAAAACTACTGTATAAGTGATGCCAATAGGCCAAGTTACAGGTCAGCAGAGGTGGGACCAAGTCATTGTTTTGCAAGTCTCAAGTAAGTCTCAAGTCTTTGCCCGCAAGTCCAAGTCCAAGTCCAGTCCCAAGTAAAAGATAGGCAAGTTCAAGTCGAGTCTTGAGCCACTGGCCCATAAGTCTAAGTCAAGTCCAAGTTGTGTGCTTTGAGCTTCAAGTCATTTCAAGTTTTTTAACCTAAGTACCAAATATAGCTTAGTTTTTTTCAATTGATATGACTTTTAAGATAAATTGTACTTAGAAAATCATTGTATATTTATATATGAGTTTTTATAGAGTATATAAGAGTTGTAGAAATGTAAATTTTTCCTTTTTACTTGTTTTGACAAGATCTTAGTGTGAATCATTACGGTCAGAATAGAAAGAATTCAGATTTAAAGTGCTTCTGAAGTCTTCTCAAGTCACAGGCCTCAAGTCCGAGTCAAGTCCCAAGTCACTGACCTTCAAGTCCAAGTCGAGTCCCAAGTCTTATTCCATTTTATCAAGTCAAGTCTGAAGTCCTCAAGCACGTCAGATCTGCAGAGAGGCGACCCCACTCTCAATAATAATGCATAATTTTCCAAGACATTTTGAGCAACAAAAAATAAAAATAGATGAGCATGTAACTTAACTTAATAATTTTAGAGGTTTAGGATTGGTTAGAGTTGTTGCGTTTCAACATTTTAACCTTGTTGCCCGGTTCAGGATGGCTCCAGAAGTGGCAGCAGTGGAGAAGAAGGGCGGGTACAACCACTTATGTGACATCTGGGCCGTGGGCATCACGGCCATTGAGCTGGCAGAGCTGCAGCCTCCCATGTTTGACCTTCACCCAATGAGGTTAGTCCACTCTGCTGCACCCAGATCTTTGAGCAAACTCTATTCAAGCCCCTGACAGTGAACAGTGGACACTTATGTAACTACCAAGAGGAATGCATTCATCTTACTTTATGAATGTAAACTACTGCAACAGTCTCCACAACAATGACTTTTAAAACTATGTTGCAGAGCTCTGATGTTGATGTCTAAGAGCAACTTCCAGCCTCCAAAACTAAAAGACAAAACAAAATGGTGAGTCCTTTATTATTTTAACTGGATCTGTGCCATTTTGACGGTTATACGAGTGCATTGTGTTTACTGTGTAGGTCGTCAGGTTTCCAAAGCTTTGTGAAGATGGCGCTCATAAAAAACCCACGCAAAAGGCCGTCAGCTGAGACTCTGCTCCAGGTAATCACTTGGAAGAGCTGGTTTTATAAATCTATTTGCTGGTTGTGCCACAAATCATCTAACATTCAAGATAGGGGGACAACCAACATGCAGATGATTTGAAAGTGCATTATGTAAGTTATGTGGGGGAGATTAATGAACTGGCTATCGGCCTTAGATCTCCAGCACAGGCCAATATTTAGTTTTGGCCGACCTGCTGTCTAAAAAATTCCCCCTTGACACCTGAATTTATATAGATGTATATAAAAAAGTGTTTAGTGTGTGTTTTTTTCTTTAAGTAGATGGTAAATTAAGATGAGATTATTAATTTGACTTAATAAAATATATAAAATAGAAATTTGGGTATGTTACAAATCTGTGACAACTAGAAACAAGTGCTTGCCAAAGCTTCCTAGGAAGGTACTGTTTATACACTAACCAACTTATCTCAACTTGTATCTTGATCCAAACAGTTTGTCACATATTTGTGACACTTGGCATTAAGGAGATACAGATAATGCCTCATTTCAACACGTAAATGTGCCGATAGCTGCACAAAACATGACTAAACTGTTCCCTTATAGGTTCATTATTTTAACAAGAGTAATTTTTTAGTAATTTAACTTAGATAATTTGAGAAAAAAAATCTGCCTTACATATTGACTAGGGCTTAGTATCATTAAGAAGTTGCCGATACGATACATATCTCGATACACTGCGCTTTCGATTCAGTACAATATATTTCAAATCGATTTGATACGGTTCAATAAAAATGACTAAATCATGTCTGTGATACTAAAGGTCTTTGTTAAACCACTTCTTGTGCAAAGTTAATTATAAACACACCTATTTTTATCATTAAAACAGTGAAAATGTCAAATGTGTCGCATGAACAAGTTTCCTTCCTCTGAACAAGCAACAAAACTGTAGCAATGTAACAATAATTTAGTAAAATATACCAAAAAACCTCTGTATCATCCCATTAAACAATACGATATATCGATATTTCAATATTTTTGCACAGCCCTAATATTGCCAGACTTTACTGGCCATCAGCTTCTCTGGAGTCTAAACAATTGGTGCCAACATGAGCCATGAAACTAACTCTGATGATCTCTATTTGAACCCTGGTTGTCTTTCTGTGGCATCATCTAGAAAGTATATGTAAATATGCAAAAAGTACTTTTTAGTAGGATGCATATTGTCTTGAACATACAAATAATATATTGTTCTTTTTGTCCAGCATCCCTTTGTGACCCAGCTGTTGACAAGGAACCTGATAATTGAGCTTCTGGACTTGGCCAGTAATCCGGAGCTTTTCAACAGCCACTCCCACAGCCTGGACGAGAACGATCTGGAGGTCTGAGCGCAGCGTGACGGACTCCATCTTTATCCTTTCAGTTTAGTCTAATGTGTTTTGTTGGCAGGTCGAGGAAGAGGCTCCAGACAAGATCCAGTCAGCGGGGAAGCACCTGGCCGTGGAGAGGACCTTGTCTGAGGAACAATGTAAGGTCACACCCTGAGCACTGGACACTCGCAGCTAATAGAGATATTGCAGGAAATGTGCTGTCAGACAGAACATGGGGCTGCAGAAAAATACTCAGTTTGGACATATTTTTCATGTGAGCTTCACTGGCACCCACTTTTACAGCTGTTTGGGTTGTTCAGCTGTTGTGCGAGTGCTGAATGCTTAACCAATCTTGTGAAAAGATGTCACAATTATCATGGCTAAAATAACAGCAATTGATATTACAATTAGTATCACAATAATTATTAAAACTGCACATTGTTTTAATAAGTTGGTTATATAGACATCAATAATTTAAGTGTAAAATTACAATTATCTAGGGGAGGAACTCAGTAGTAGTCAGAGGTGGAGACTTGCAATTCATTTCTTGGACTTGAGTCAAACTTGAGTCTCTATTTTTAGGACTTGAGACTCGACTTGATAAAATAGACTAAGACTTGGGACTTGACTTGGACTTGAGCCCTGTGACTTGAGAAGGTTTGCTATTCTGACCGTAATGATTCACACTAAGATCTTGACAAGACATTTAAAAAAGAAAAATTACCATTTCTACAACTCTTACATTAATACTATTAATATATAAATATTCCATGACTTTTAAAGTACACTTTACTTTAATTTGAATTCATATAAATTGCTAAAATCTAACCTATATTTGGTACTTTGGTTTAAAGACTTGAAATGACTTGAAGCTCAAAGCAGACAACTTGGACTTGACTTGGACTTATAAGCCAGTGACTCGAGACTTGACTTGGACTTGCCTGTATTTGAGTAGGGACTTGACTTGGACTTGAGGTTAAAGACTTGAGACTTACCTGAGGCTTGCAAAATAAAACTTGGTCCCACCTCTAGTAGTAGTAGTAGTAGTAGTAGTAGTAGTAGTAGTAGTAGTAGTAGTAGTAGTAGTAGTAGTAGTAGTAGTAGTAGTAGTAGCAGCAGCAGCAGCAGCAGCAGCAGCAGCAGCAGCAGCAGCAGTAGTAGTACTAGTAGTAGTAGTAGTAGTAGTAGTAGTAGTTATTATATGGTATTACTTATATGGTAATATTTATATAGTAATAGTATCTAGCAAAAATGTATTTATTAATTATAGATTTGATAATTTTTAATAATATCATTGTTATTTAATGTCCTTAGACTGAGTGTGTACTTGATGTGCTTGATGATGCAGTGGTGAGAACATTTATAAATTGACTCCAGCTCTACAGACCTGCTGATTTATATTGACAGTTGTAAAACCGGTATTGCCGTTTCTTTATGGTCACAGGAAACGACCGTACTGGTTTAGGTGTCATACGTTTGCGGGGTTTTCATGACTAGACTTCAGCTTCTGGAGGAAGTTGTGGTTGACGTGTGAGAGAATAGTTACATAGCGGCCTAAGGTGTTAACTTTGAATGTTAAAGACTAGACTGTACAAAATGAACAACACATGAATTTGGTGTAAAGGTGGGAGATACAAATACTGAATGAGTGAATGAATGAATTAATATTGTATTTAAGTACTATTACAGTGCATCTTTGGATTTTTAAGAGGACAAATTGTAACTGGATAACAATTGCAGCATAATTGTCTAAGAGTACAAGGTGATATTTTTACTTACTTGGATTTTACAGTTAGCTTTATTTACTTTTTTGAGATACCTGAACTTCAACTACTGTAAATGTGTACCCTTTGGTTTGGTTCTGGTATGGGTCCAGTTAAGTCTGATATAGGTTTGGTTTTGTCCTGATCAAGTCCTGACGTAGTCCTGATCTGTGCTGTAGTGGGGATTTTTTAATTGAGGGTACGTGATTTGTGACAATGTTTTTTTTTACTAAAAATGATACAGAATAATGTTATTAACATTATCCCTGTTCATAATCTCCTACAGAATATAAATTATAGGCTACAACACATGTGCCCAGGACTGAACCAGGACTGAACTAGGACTAAACCAGGACTGAATCAGGACTGAACTAGGACTAAACCAGGACTGAATCAGGACTAAACCAGGACTGAACCAGGACTGAAGTAGGACTAAACCAGGACTGAACCAGGTCTAAACCAGGACTAAACAAGGTCTAAACCAGGACTAACCCAGATCTAAACCAGGACTGGAACAGAACTAAAACAGGACCAAACCAGGACTAAAACAGGACTAAGCAGGACTGAACCAGGACTGAACCAGGACTAAAAAAGGACTAAACCAAGTCTAAACCAAGATTAAACCAGGTCTAAACCAGATCTAAACCAAGTCTAAACCAAGACTAAACCAGGACTAAACCAGGACTAATCGTGGACTTGATAGCAAGAGAGAGAACCCAGAGCCCCTGGAGGACTAAAACAGGACTAAACAGGACTAAAACCGGACTGAACCAGGACTAAAACAGGTCTAAACCAGGACTAATGTTGGTCTTGAAAGAGAGAGAGAACCCATAGCCCACAAAGCGCGATTGGCCAACAGCTGCGCTTAGCCCCGTGGGGTGTGGAGTTCTGCACCTCCGGGCCTGTCCTGACACTCAGTTCAGTTCTGGTTTAGTCCTGGTTCAGTCCTGGTTCAGTCCTGGTTCAGTCCTGGTTCTGTCCTGGTCCCTCATGTCTCAGGTCACTCTTGAACTGTACTGCAGATATCATGAGTCTATGCAGTTTGTTTTCACCATTGTCAGTTCCTCCGGTTTGACATTTAAGTTGTAGCTATGTTACATTTGTTATTTTTTTTTATATCTCACGTCAGGAGAGGTGGGTGGACGGAGTACACCCTGATCCTGATCTAGTCCCAGTCCAGTTTCTACTAGTCCCAGTTTAGTCTCAGCATGTGACTAAGACTTCTAAAGGCACTTTTCAGCACATTTTTATCTATTGCAAAACACATATTACTGGAAGAGTCTAGAAAAATATAGCATTTTTGTAAGTATAGCCCATCTTTAATAATTTTCTTTAGTAGCTGATACACGTTTGCTGACCTCAAATGTGGGTGCTATCCCGGGTCGTACAGTGAAGTGAAGTCACCCGGGCCAGTGCATAGAAGTGGCACTGTCCACTGTCACATACCAGTGGCATGTTTGGTGCCATCCTGTGACGCAGCCCCCGGCCCACATGTGTGCACACCCCCGGCACAAAAGAGGGCGCACTGAGGACCCATTGTGCCCATTCATGCAGTATTATTGAGATGAATACAGAGTTTGACTGTAAATAAAAAGACAATAACTCTACTCATGCATTAAATATGAGAGCACACTTTTACTTCAAAATATGCAGGGGATACAAATTGTCAGCCATGATCAAGATAAAATCAATAAAATGATATCAGGTTATGCAAAGGAAGAGGTGGTGTCTTGGAATGCCACAAGTTTCTGCAAGTCGTCTTTCGTACTTTTAAAAGATGAAGAATGCACCATATAGTTTGATCATCCTGGAACGTTTAATACATAAGATCTTTTTCTCTTTCATAAATGTCATCACTACCTTTGCCACACATTTAGTCTTTAGGACACATTGAGAAAACAAAAAACATGCACTATTAAAACTTAAAACTAAAGTGATTGTGTGTTTTAAATTGTTGTACATCTTAATATTCATAGTCGGAAGTGGGTGGAGTAGCCAAAAATGATACTGAAGTAAGAGTACTGTTACTTTAAAATAATATTCCTCAAGTAGAAGTACAAAGTAGCGGTAAGAGTACTGCAAGTAGGATAAAAAAATATGTCTGAAAGCTATATGGAGAAGTAGCCTACAATTTTATTAAGTTATTCAAGTAATGTAAAAGAAATGCCCTACTTATGTCACCATGGTAATTTCAGATTTAATTGAATGTGAGATGCCACTGGATTGTAAACTCTGCATACTACACATCTTCCCCAATTGCTTTAGTGTTCATTTAAATAGAAAGAAGCTTGTCATTTTTTATTTATTACAGGCCAAACATGTTATCGCTCTTAACTGGAAGGAAATGGAGAGATCCAGAGTAAACCAGTGGATTAAATTAATGTCCAGCAAAATGGCACTGGAGAAGTAGAGCTACATATCTAAAGGAAAACTTGAGGACTTTAAAGACATTTGGTTGCCCTTCTTGCGCATTGTAAAGAATTTTGACATGCAGAAATCATAATTCAAACTGAGTGAATAGTGTGTTTTACACTATAAACCCAAATAAGTTAACAGAACTCCAAAAAATTGGGGCAACCTATTACCTCAATTATTTTAAGTCGATGAACTAAAAAGTCACAATCTTCCAGAACTTAAATGGTTGAACTTGCTACTTGTACCTTTTGATAACAGCTGGATTAAGAGTGCTCATTCAACTCAACTCAAATATTTGCAGTTAGAGTTTTCAAACCACTGAAATAATTTAATTAAAATTCAGGTTTATATGTAATCCATGATTTTTGTATATGTACACACATTATAAGTAGGTAAAGGTAAGGTAGTAAGTCTTTAGTTATATAGTGCTTTTCACAGACGTATGTCACAATGACACTTTACAGAGCGTTGCTCTTTCTCTCCACACATGATGATGGTAAGATACTACTGTAGCTACAGCTGCCCTGGGGCATACTGATGGAAGCGAGACTACCATCGGCCCCTCCGATCACCACCATCACTCACACACACATACACCATTTTCATACTAGGCAATGTGGGTGAAGTGTATTGCCTTAGGACACAACAACAGTTTTGTGACTGGCGCCCCCCTGTGGCACCTGATTTTCCCAGTATCTCCCATCCAAGTACTAACCTAACCTAATTATAGTATATATAGACACACCATTGTATACACACATTATACACACTGTAGGAGGGGGATTTAACTCCAGGTTCCCCCAAGTCACGGGATTTACTAGTCTAATCAATATGATATTATATGTATATAGTTCAGTAATATATGCATACTTACATACATTACACATTATAGTATAGTACACATAGTACATTATACACACATTAGGTTTTTTTTTTAACTACTTAATTCTACTAAATTGTACCTCATCTATGTTTTTAAGTTACCCTCACTTATACCCACAATAGTTCCCTTTAATTTAAAAAAAAAAGTGTCAAAATTACTCAAAAAGAAGAATGTGTTACAGCAACTTGACATAAGTAAGACTAAAACTAAGTAAGTTAGTACGATTATTTCTTAAACTTTGAGTATAAACAACTTAATCTATTTAATTACTTTGAATGTTCGGGTTTGCAGTGTAGGTTGGGGGGAAGGTTTTAATTTATATCCTTTTTTTTGTGTGTGTGTAATGTTTCAATATGTAAAATCTTAATAAAAACATTTGAGAAAAAAAAAATGCCCTACTTAGTTTGCTATTATTATTTTATGCCACAATATCACATTACTGTTCAGAGCTGTTAATTTGGTTAGTAATGACTCCACTTTGTGCCTGTCACAGTTAGGCCACAATATTGATGCTGTGCTAAGTGCTTAATGCAGCTAATGTTGTTTAATGGAGAGTGGCTGCTAAATCTTACCGACTGTTACATCTATAATTGACTTTTGGTTGTTGTGTTTTTACAGTTGACCAGGTGAAATTCCGACCTCCTTTACGGAAAGTGACAGAGCCTTATCCTGATTTGGTGAGTCATTCAATTACATTACACATACACTTCTATTGTTCTATTGTTTCCTGAGACAAAGAGGCCGCTTATGAATTTATTTATATTTTCCAGATTAATAGCACTTCAAATATGCTTTTCATTTAAGATGTTATATGCGTGTGACCCATTTTGATGATTTGTTCAGCAGGGTTCCTATGACGATGACTGGAGTCTGTCTGGAGATGAGGACAACTCACCGTAAGACCCTGATTATCTTATGTAACAGCAATTGGGTTCATTTATCTTGATAATGTAATTCCATTTGATGTACTACAAATTGTATTTTGAATGTAAGATTTAATTAATAACATTTTCACTTATGTATTAGCTATAACATTTAAAAGCAAAAAAAAAAAAAAAAAAAACACTCTACATTACTAATTCGAGCAGATTACAGACAGTACAAGCTGGAGGAGTAGTGAGAAAGTTGTAGTTTGGAGAGCTGATTCCTTCCCGTCCCATTGTTAGCAGTGAGGCCGGCCCGTAGTCACATAAACAGAGGTCTTCCTGTTGCAGGAGCCTGCTGGAATGTGTGGAGCAAGCTCTGCAGCTGAGGTAGGACACGGCCGCCACCCCAGTCGCTAACCCCGGTGTGCCCCCTCCCCGGACCCCCTCCTGTGTACCCCCCATACCCCATGTTCCTCCTGACATCACCTGCTTCTCGTGGTGATGAGCTGATCCGTGGGTCTGCTGGGTCCTGTGTTCGCTGGGTGTGGGGATAATATAGTAGATCATATCATTGGCTTCAGTTTCAGCTTCCAGTGCTTTTTTTGTTTGCTTTTTATCGTCTTGTCATCTCTTGGATTTTTGTTGCTGCAATTATACCGCCGACATTTAACTTTTTGACCTAACTGGCTTTGATTGCTCGAAAAGAATTTGTTGGTAATTGTACTTGTCTTGCTTTTCAGGAGTTTAACAATTAGGAGAGTGCCCTCTACTGACGTAAGTTATTAGTGAACAAAAATAATTCATTCAATAATTCTTCTCTCTTATATTAAAGTTTTCTCTCACTTTTTGAAATGCTAATGAATATTTAGATTTTTTTTTATTTTGGAGTGCTTGCATGGATTCTCATAAAACTATATTTTATTATCCTGTACATGACATGACATAAAGGTGCACTATGTAACTTTTTGGTTGGGGGGTCCCTCACCTGCTTGTTTCTACGTCATTGCTCTGCCTGGAATGTTCCACAGTATGACATTAAACAGCTCTGCCTTACATTTATTGAATTATAGAAAATCTTTTTTTTAAAAAACAAGCATTCTGACTGCGAGCGGGATTGTCTCTTCATAGATCTGACCTGTAACTTTGTCTGGTTTGGTCTTCATGAAGACAGAATTATTTAATGCAACATGTTAAAACATTCCAGACAAAGGACTAACATCTACATGGAAAAAAGCAATTGATGCACCTTTAATATAACTAATAACAAATCTAACTTAATATGAAATACGCAAAAATCTGAATTGTAAAGTGTTCTGTTGAAACGTCATTAAAACTCATTTCTGTTTTTCTCTTTTAGACTGGCAGGAAGAGTGGCATGTTCAGCCCCACCACAGCCTCCCTGCCGGCCTTCAGCTCTCTGTCCGCTCACACAGAAGACCAGGACCTGACCCTCAGACCCACCTGCACCCTGGGCCCCGACACTGCTTTAGACAACGACTGCCGCTCTTCACCAGGTAACAACCCTATTAACTTGGACACATGCTGATTTGCATTTTAACCATGTATATCTTAAATTTGTTACTCCAAAGGCTGCAGGATTGCGAGTATTGTGACTGTGATCAGATTTGTATGTATAAAAATAGGATTTAGTCTGAGCGCACTTTGTAAAGAACTCAAGAGATAGAAGAGAAGACTGAAATATGAACTCCCATGCAAGAATCCCATGCATTTAGAGATGTTTGTAGAGATAAAAACTACAGGTGCAACAAGATTTTTCTTTTTCTACTGTCTAAATAATTGCAGCAATTGTGATTTGATAATTGCGCCAACTAAAATGGCATTTTCTATTCGATTGCTATACTCCATATGCCATTTATTTTCCAGGTTTGTCGCGGTGCTCTGCCACACAGGACATCAGGCAGCGGTGCAGTGACCCATGTCTGCCTGGAGGTGATGCTCTACCCAAGGAAAAGAAGCCAAGTGCAGTTTCGCCTCCAAAAAGAGACACCTCTCTTTCACCAGAGTGGAGCACATTAAGGAAAAAGCCTGAGGACTCTGTAAGCTCACCTCAAATAATATCAAGCGTGTGCTCTTTGCTAACCACAGTAACTTTCTAATGTCATTTGTTTTATAAATTGAAAGTGTGATTTGCTGTGGCTTATGTGTGGTTTGTATCGTCCCCATATTTTGTTAGAGAGCTGATTGTCATGGACTTCCTCCTACCCCTCAAGTCCATGTAAGTGTGGCATCTAACAGCATGCTAACCTTATTTTGTTTAATTATTAACCACAATCAATTTATTTAATGTGGAAGTGAACTAAACTTTTCAAGATGAATGTGTATAATATAAAATAAAATCCTATGTAGCTGACTTCTTCTACTGTGTGTTTAGATGGGAGCGTGCTTCTCTAAAGTTTTTAATGGGTGTCCACTTAAAATAAATTGTGCCGTCACCTGGATTTTCCCTAAAACAAGAGGTAAACTCACTCTACCGTGAATCAAAAACAAATTTGCAGCCAGTAAGAATAAATCAAAATACACTGTTTGGTTAAACATGTTATTGGTGCATTGGATAAAGATGAATTATGTAATTACACTGTTTTATTTGATTCAGAGTGCTTTCTGTATTTTATGTAGATCAGTATCTTATACTCGGAGCAGAGGAGGGGATATACACACTGAATCTAAATGAACTTCATGAAGATACACTAGAAAAGGTCTGGACACAATGAGGACAAAACTGGATTATTTGAGGAGAAATTGTCTAAACTGTTTTAATTTGATTATACTGTGATACACAATTCTCATTACCTTTTTCAGCTGCTGCCACAGAGATGCTCATGGCTCTATGTTATGAACAACGTGCTCATGACTGTTTCTGGTAATGACTGCTATTCTCAGCTGTTAAACGCAGTGGAAATAGATTTTCAGTGATTTGTTGCTGTCTCCTGCAGGGAAGTCCTCACAGCTCTGCTCCCACAGTTTGACAGCTCTGTTTGAACACAAAGGCAGAGAGACTGTGCACAAGAGGCCCAGCACCCTGTCACTCAGCACCAACCGCTTCACCGAGAGGATCAGCCACAGGTAAAGGGAAAGTGGATGTATGTAGTTATTCTTGTATTTATATGTGCGGCTGTTCATATTTTAAACTTTCTTCACTGATAAAAATGAACTTCTGCAAGGATTCATGGTGTGCAGGATTCCTTTCTCTTTTGAAACTTTATTTTCTTGAAACCGAAATTTTACATTCTGTCTATCCACAGAAAGTTTGCTGTATCAGTGAAGATTCCTGACACTAAAGGCTGCAGGAGGTGTAGTGTAGGTAAGACATGCCAAGCACAATCTTAGAGCTGAATTTATCTTTTCAAATTCTGATAATTACAGGACTTGTTTCCCACAGCCAGAAACCCCTATACAGACAGCACTTTTCTATGTGCGGCCGTGCCCTCTGGTCTCGTCCTGCTCCTGTGGTATGAGCCTCTGCAGAAGTTCATGCATCTTAAGGTCCGTGGATGACATTTTATTGAAGATATGGACCCTTTTAAAATTTGTAAACAAATACAATGTAAAATCCAGAATGGAAGCAACTAGAGGCGAAAATGACAGTGGAATATGATGTTATTTTAATTGAGAAACTGGAGTTAAATATATTACAAAATATTATAAATCAAGGGAGATTTGGCAAATAAATATTTTAATGATACGACTGCCCTCTTAAAAGGCATTTGCAGTCGTATTTTACATCATTTGTGTATTTAGTTGGACATTATGATGGGCTTTTTACATTTGTGAAGAACAAAAAACCATGAGCTAGGTCATTCCCCCCATTCACCCCAAAAAAATGCAGTTTGAACCTTCACATTGTCAGATTGCAAAGAAAATTGGTGTATGGTAAGTCAAGAAAGCCAAAATCTCAAATTTTAACATGATCAGAGCAATGGTTGCTGAGACATCGCAATTTAATTTTTTCACTTTTTTGCGTGGTCGCCAAATTTCAAATTGCATTTAATCAGCAACAGCAAGGTATCTCTGGAAAGGGGAAATCGCAAGGAATCCAAATCACGCCCGACCTCAACAACAGCAATAGAAAAAATTTAGCCTTATATGTTTACTACAACATATAAAAAATCTGGAGGGGTTTTCTTTTTTATTTTCACACAAATTTACTTAGAAGTTGACTTACCCCCATTCAGATTCAGACTCAGATTCAGGTTTCAGATGTATGTATTTATGTATTTATATACCAGAGATTCCCCTTTCCAGAGATACGTTGGTTTGGTTTTTGATATCAGACCAGTAGTTGCTGAGTAAATGAAATTTGAAATACAGCAACCACGCAAAAACATAAAAAAATGAAATTGCAATATCTAAAATTTGAAATTTTGACTTTTCTGACTATGATTTACCTATAAAACAAGTTCATCAAAATTAGAAATCAAAATTAAAATCAAAAAGTAGGCTTTAACTCATTGGGTGAACTGAGGTGGACTGACCCAGCTGTAGGTTTTTCTGGACAAATACTGTAGAAATGTTAGTGACTAAACCCTAGAACATGCAATATTACAACACAGTTCTGCATTTTAATATTCATTTTAGCTGTGTCCTATCAGTATTAAATGTAATTGACCTGTAGAATGTTGTCATCTGAAACCCAGCAGTAATGTCTTAAAATCATTTGCATGTTAGTTAATCATTGAAAACGTATGGTCGACTCTACTTCACTTACTCTACTCAGAATTTTGAACATTTTGATGATATAGCATTTAAAGGTTGTACATTATTTTGCAGATTTCTTTCACTGAACATTATAAATCTGTGTCTTTTTAGTATATAGCTGTAAAGCTGCCAGACAGTCTGCCTATATTTGAGCTGCTGGTAGTGGTGACAGATGAGTTTCCTCAGCTCTGCATTGGAGTGCGAGACTGCAGTAATGGGAAAAGTGGTCAGGAACTCATGTTTGACATCATAGAACTCAATGGTGCTCCTATCTCTGTACCAGGTACCTCTCCCCTCTTTTCCCTTTGGTCATTTAAAACTCCAACTACTGTGTCAAAAGCATCTTCTTCACTTTGTAGACAGTGGTGCGCTGAAAGCTGGGCAGGTGACCCAGCTTGACAGAGACACAGTTCTCATTGCATTAGAAAGTAAGTGGCCGCATTTCCATCTCTTGACAAATGTTCAAGGATGCAGTAGCTTGAGTATTTTACCAGACTAAAAGCTGTGATGTTCCTTTTACAGAAATTGTTAAAATTGTTAACTTGAAAGGACAACCATCCAAAGAGCTATCTGCGGAAATACTATTTGACTTCTCCATTGAAACTCTAGGTAGGTTTTGTATAATAAAAGCATTAGATTTGATGCTATACTATATAAATTTTTGCTATATACTTTTTTTAGTTTGCTTACAGGACAGTGTTTTGGCTTTCTGGAAACATGGTCTCAAAGGGAAGAGCTTTCAATCTGGTGAAGTGAGTGAAATTTTAATATTTAATTATTCAGTGTTATTTTTTGTTTATTTATCTGCATTTATGAAAATGCTATCTTTATGTTAAGGTGACACAAGAGATTACGGATGAGAGCCGATCTTTCAGAGTCCTGGGAACAAACAGGTGTGGGACATTTGGTCAAATGTTTTTGTACTGTTTTCAAAACACCAAATTTTCCACTAGAACATACCATCTAGATCAGACCTGGGTATTGTACAGCTCCTGGGCCTCATGGAACCCTTTGGTTGATACTGACCGGCCCGTTTAAGCTCATTTGGAATTACAAAATGAACATATTTTATAATTTTGCCTCATGCATGGGCTAATGCTGCATTGCTTTTTTTAAGAGGTGTATTTTAAATAAAATTTTCTGTAAAGCAACATCACTTTTTCATTGCTTAGTCATAACATATAGACCACCTTGTCAAAACAATGCTATTTACTGCTTTTTATAAAGAAATACAATTAATATTAATTGAGTTAAGTATTTTGGCCCGGCCCTTCACAATATTTTCTGTATCTCATATGGCCCCTTGGAAAAAATAATTGCCCACCCCTGATCTAAATGTTGTGACAAATAAAGCCATGGCAAATGTTTCATCTTTTCTATACTTGCTGTTTCATAGGGACATTATTCTCCAGAGCACGCCTACTGATGACCCCTCAGCACTGAGCAACCTCTACATACTAACCGGGCATGAAAGTAGCTACTAACTGTTGGGGATGACCAAGAATTTCATGTTTATTATTGCACTTCATGTTGTAAAGCTGTGGCAGACACCAGCAAATACCAACACATGCCATTCTGGACTCTCATGAGATGAAAGCCAACGCTGAAGCTGCTTATCAACCACTGAAGACTGTAACTATTTCAGAGCTTGACTGGACATTTGGAACTAGAAATATAATGTGTGAATTCCCTCTGGAGCTATAGTATTCATGGTATGCAAAAGAACTGATAACTTTCTAAAGGGAAGAGTTTTCTTTCTTCAGCACTAATGTCTGTACATGTATAAAACACACCTGTGTTTTCAGATGCTTTATAAAGGCTGTTAGGTTTGTTAAAAAACCTCAAAACTACATGGACTGTAATTTTTTTCCAATGGGACATAATATTTCTTAACAGGTATATCTATATCCAGACACTGAGCGACAGCAATATATGAGATGAATAAACCCACTGTTACAAGTAAATTAAATGAATGTATGTTATAGCCTATGTAAAATGGCTTTTTATTGTTAGAGGCAACATTCCTCCTGAGTGTTACTTGAGTGTCTCTGTGCATATTGTTTGTTTAAAGGAAGAGAATTACTTACTATGCTACAGTATATTCTGAATTGTTCAGTGGAAATCATCAATAGATTATCTGTAGGATTTTTAATTACCACTTAGTGGAGGCTTGAATCACACTGCCACAAAATTGTAAAGCAGATCTTTTAGCCTAATACTAACCTATCATCACTACAGGTCATACTTGTATTTATTTATTATTAAATAAAAGTAGCCGCTATTACAGTGATCCACACCATAAATTATTTTCCACACAATAAATGATTTACATTTATAAAATAATACATTTTCAACCAAAAACAAAAGATTGTTGGGGAAAAAAACGCAGTCATCCAGTCAATGTTTTTCAAATAGTTTCGACCACCATGTATAAATAAACTTTCTATAGACTAAGTCGAATTTTATCCAAAAATAACAGTCCCCTTGTTAAAAACTGGTCCAAGTGAATCAACTGGGGAACATTAAATGACACCTATTTGAGTTACCGGGAACTGGAACAATCTGTTTCAGCATTCAACTGCCTTTCAGTTTTGCACTTCATGGTCTTGGGCACTCTTGGCACATCACAAGGAAGATTAATGGGGAGTTGTCTTTGGTTTACCTGTTATTTATTTCTTCCTATACTAGAGATTGTTATGGTGTTTACTGTTAAATCACCAGTCCAGAAACTGTTTGCTTACTTACTGCAGCACACAATGCATGAACCCATGAGAAACTTTTTAGCTGTTGTATGATTCAATAATGCACAGTCGTGTCAGTTGGTGTAAATAGCGCTCTCTCCTCATTTTCTATAAAATGGTCGTGTGTGTCACTTTTTTCTTCAGGCACTGACCAAAACCATATCAATCAATAGATGCCTCGGATAATCCAGAAGAGAAGACCCTTGATACCCTTTGCCTCAATGTATAGAGTCTGCATTTATGTTAATTTGCTCAATGTTATTCACAGTCTGTCTGTTATAAAGTAGCATGATAAGTTTCTCATTACCAAAGTACTAAACCAATTATGAGCCATATGGATGTTTCTGTGCCGCGTGTTGGATGGACCTGGTGGCTTGTTAATCACTTTCGTACATACTAATGTTTTATGTGATATTCAAAGATACTCCCCCTCCCCTCCAAAACACGACGCTCTCGACGTCACACGAACGTACTTACGCACTGTTTGCCGCGCGCGCAGTACCACAGTGCTGTAGATCCGTGCGCATGCGCAGTACGCTGTCCATAATAGCCGTCTTCGGTCGCCTTTTCTTCCGTCGAGGTTCTTTGGTTTATTGCGAGGTATATGCTTATTCTTAAATACTTAATCAGTTAATGGTGCTGTAACCTTTGGTGTTGACAAAGGGGATAATAATTTGGTCTGTATTGTTCATTCGTGTCCGTGCTATCTTACATTATTTAAATCCAGAGGTTTGTTAGCTGCAACGTGGTTAGCCCATCCATCTAAGGGCCTTTCGTGTTGTAGCTAGTTAGCTGGGTTGTACGGTTGTTAAAGGTTATTACAAATAACCGCTCTTATATTACTTTTATTCAGTTTATTTCATTGCCTCTTTGCAGACCTGAGGGATACTGTGTTCGCAAAAAAAAATCTGAAAGCATCATTACGTTCTTAGTTGAAACTTGCTCAACATTTTTACCATTATTCACTAAAAGTTACTTTGCAACGTTATGTCTGCATTGTGAACATTCAGGATTAAGTGCATGTATTTTGTTAATGTTGTTTTTGTTCTCCTCTTACAGCACAATGGTGAAAATATTCGTTGGAAATTTAGCAGCTGAAACCACATCAGATGAGCTTCTGTCCCTCTTCTCTCAATATGGAAAGATTTCTGAATGTGACATTGTCAAGAATTTTGGCTTTGTGCACATGGATGACAAAGCTCAGGCTGAAGAAGCCATCCGAAACCTTCATCACTATGAGCTCAACGGGCAGCCTATGAATGTTGAAATGAGTCGTGGCAAGTTAAGAGGATCCACCAAGCTCCATGTTGGCAATATAGCCTGCACTAACCAGGAATTAAGGGCCAAGTTTGAAGAGTTTGGGCCTGTCTTGGAGTGTGACATAGTAAAAAACTATGCCTTTGTTCACATGGAGAGAATGGATGATGCGATGGAAGCCATTAATAAGTTAGACAACTCTGCTTTTAAAGGTGAACTTTGGGGAAGGGGGGTTAGCAAGTTTATTGAAATTGTATCCACAATGTTTAAATTTTTTTTTTTCTAGACTCCCAGGTAGGTTTGAGTATACAGGTAAGTAAAAGAACTATAACTCTGGAGGTTTTTTCTGCGTTAAGACAAGGTCTGAGTAAAAAAAATATCTCAGGGATTATAGGCAGACGTATTCTATCTGGCCATTGTTGTTAGAAAAGGTCTTTTGGTGTTCAAAATGTTAACATTATCAAATAATGTACAGAAACATTCAGTGAATGCCGGTAAAGGTTTTTTCTGAATTTCTTCTTTTTAAGGCAAACTGATGAGCGTGAAGCTTTCGACTAGTCGGCTTCGTACTGCGCCGGGAATGGGAGACCGGGCGAGCTGTTACCGTTGCGGGGAGGAAGGCCACTGGTCCAAAGAATGTCCTCTAGACCAAAATGGCCATCCTCGAAACGGCTCGGGGCCAAGATCTGACGGATTCGATGCTCCGAGATTTGCTGGGCGCGGTCGCAACAGGGGTTATAATCCGGGATTCGGTGGTGAATCAGAGTTTGACAGTGGTTATCCTCCGGTACCTAGTTCCCGTGGGCCCGGTTTCAGGCGTGGTACGGGCTTTGAAAGCTCAGAGAGGTTCGGTCCTCCTCCGGCGTATGGTGGCGTGCCCGACCAGGACGTGTCTCGGATGTACAGCGCTGAGGCGGCATACAGAGGCAACAGCTCGTACTATGGCGCGGTTCCATCCTACCCGGTTCGACGGTCGGGTTATGAACGGGATCCGTACGGGGTCGTGGACTACTACGAGAGGTACAGGGCCGGTGGGTATGATGGCAGTTATTTTGAGGAGCGTCGATCAGTTCCCATGCCTGCTGCTCCACCAACTTCATCTTCGGGAATAATAAGGGAACGTCTGCCTCCCTCTAGTCATACTCCTCATGACCCATACAATATTCCTCCCATCCCCCCTCCTCCCGCTCCCACCCCCTCCTACTTAACGCGTGAGCGCAGCCCAATTCGACGAGTTCCTGAGGCGGTCGGGTTCTCATACGATCGTTCACAACTTTCCACTACGCCCAATCTCCAAAGAAGTTCAACCTTCGAGCACCCGCGGGATCCCGCTGCCGATCGAGCACGATATGGTTACTAGTCCGAGTTTTTGTCAAGTGACTGACATTTAGAATATGTTTTTGTTGCAGCATCAGAAAGGTCAAGTCCACTCCAAGCAAACAGATAATCTTCAGTCTTTTTAAAAAACTGCACTTTTAGGATATACTTGTTAATTGAAAGCATTAGTCATTTCTTTTATTCATTATCACTCAAATAATGCTTACCTACTTTTTATTGTAATATATTCCCATTTTAAGATTCTACTAATTGTTGAAATGTGTAGAATATGATATTCTTGAAAAAAAGGTGTTGCTTAAACTGTAGGGACATTCAATTTGATATTTTTTCATCATTCAGTGATCATTTTTGCTGCATGCTAATGAAGAAATCATAGCTGTTGTGTACGTAAAAGTAGGTGTTAACCTAAGTCATTGTAAAAGTTTCTACATATGCTACTTTGGTATTATGTGTAATTTTGTGTTCAGTATCAATATTATTAGTGGTGTTTTGATAGTAGATTAATTTTTTTTCCCTTCTTATTAAAATTCGTTTTTTTTTTAACATTGTGTCCTTGTTTTTATGTTTCCTTTTGGAAAAAGAAAAACTTATAAATGTAAACAGTTTATAAACCAGATACATTTACATCAAGTTGCAAATAAATGAGAACTAACGTGGAGTAATGGAAGGGAGGATTTTATAATAGATCCGTGTGGGAGCCATTGAAGGATAATATCTAAGTTTTAACAAGTTATTATAGATCTATAGAGTTCCCTCCGTGAAGATAACGAGGAGCTGTGTGGAAGATTCACGGCAGTTTGTCAGAGTTTACGGTAAAGGGCGTTTCTACCAATCGTAGTTCAAAGGCGGAAGTGAGAGCCAATAGCACGAGGCGTGAGGGGCGGGGCTTCGCTGAAGAGTCTTTGTGACGTTCTGATGGACGCCATTTTGATTACGAGAGCAAACGCGTCGATAAACGGAGGTCGAATTATTATTGTTTTTAGTGTATCGCAATAAATTAAACTACATATCGACAACGCTTTTTAGGAATCCAAGAAATGGCCACTGGAGCAAATGCAACCCCACTGGGGAAGTTGCATCCTAGTATTGGCGCAAAACGAGGATTTGATGCTGGGCCTGGAGCGGGCAACGGGCTAATGCCAACGCCAGGGCCTCCCGCATCTTTTCCGTCCATGCCGGGCTTCCAGCCGCCCATGCCAAACCAGCCCTTCCCGCAGTTTAACGCTGGCCCAGGCTTTTCTCAGCCGCAACAAGGAGCTCCTGGGGGCGGCATGGCCAAACAAGGTAAGGTGTTAAAATAATGTTTAAACTAAGTCTGTGCATTAGCGCCTTGTGCTGTAGCATTATCGGGCTAATGTAGCTCACTGACAAATGGAGGCCCTTTCATCTCTGCCTGGTCACAAAATGGGGACAACCCCGTGCTTCGTGGAGGGTTTGCATTTTGTCCCGTTGGTGTATGAATGATGATGATAGTGTATAAATGAGGGGTATTTTAAAGTTAGGAGGATCCACGT